CTCACTTGGAAAAAGTTTTACACCAAGCCAGACTGTCCCTACGAACATGTCGAAGGATTTGTAGTAAAACTTGGGGTTTAGGTCCTAAACAAATTCATTGGATTCATGTGATGATTGTCAGACCAATGATCACTTACGGTGCAATTGCCTGGTGGCTGAAGGCTTTACCGAAAACGGCTCAGACGAAGCTCTCTGGCTCACAGAGATAGGCTTGTCTGGCCATCAGTGGTGCCATCAGTACCATACCGTCAGCGGTCATAGAGATCCTTTTACATTCACCTCCTTTCCACATTTTTCTGGACAGAGAGGCTAGATGAACTGCATAAAGACTTGTGCACATTGCCAATTGCACAAATCAATTCAATGCAGAGTGAAACAGACTATTGGTTGACACTGAAAGTATCATTCTGATAATGACCTCTGAGTTCATGCCTCCAACTGTCAACTACGAACTGCCTCAAAAAAAGTACTGTACTCATGTAGAGAGGACTCGATCCTCCGGGAGAAGCAGATATCGAAAGCACTTTTCGGTTATGGTGCAGATGTTTTGAGTTGCAGACCCAGGACAGATATATCAACCAGCCTAGGAACTTATGCGACTGTATTTCAAGCGGAAACTTACGCTATTGAATTGTGTGCGCAGAGATTGGAAAAATCCAACCTCTTACACGAGTCAATGAAAATATTTCCGGACAGTTAAGCGACGTTGGAAGCTCTTGGCTCCTACCGAGCAACGTCTATATTGGTAGCAAATTGCCTAAAACGACTCTCCTCGATAGAAATATTTAAAAGATTGTCTTTGGTCTGGATTCCTGACCATACTGGTCTGGATGGCAATGAGGCTGCTGACTCCCCTGCAAAGGAACGTGCTGCAAGTAGCTTCATCGGACCAGAACCTGTCATTGGCATCGCTTTAGGCTTTGCCCAACATCGAACATCTGGATGTGGACATACATATGTTTATACATGATAAGAATCTCAGATTCTTATATGGTCAATCGAAAATTTAGGTAAGAATACACCCCACACTTATACTCTCTCTATACGTGGAACTTTCCTGTTCCCAAAAACGAATGTAGGCACATGGATAGGTCAGTCGTACCATACAAGGAGAGGAATGAGATGAAGATAAGTCCGTCAAAGACTAAACTTGTCAATTTCACGAAGACATTCACAGATGTGAAGATCTTCAGGTAATTGTCAATTCAAGGAAAATGTGTGGATGAACAAAAAAGTGCGAAATGCTTTGGAGTTATTCTAGACAAGCACTTGCATTTCCGAGAGCATATAGTTTGGCAATTCAGAGAGCGGGAGCGACGATAAAATGCAACTATCCTCTCATTGCACGAAATTCCAAACTTAGTGTTGACTACAAGCTCCTAATTTACAAACAAGTAATCAGGACAGCTATGTTGTACGCTTGTCTTGTGTTCTGCAGCCCCAAGGACACACCCTTGTTGAGGCTCGAGTAAATGCAGAACAAAGAACTTCGTATCATAACCAATAATGATCGATATGTTTCATTGAGGCGTTTACCAGACAGCGAAAGTCGAGCAGGTCACAGGTTTTCTCAGATGACTCGGTTTTGAATACTTCAAGTGGTTTCTCCCCGTGACTAGTGAAGTCACGGCTATAAGATCTTACCATAATCAGCCCCGCCAATACGGTGGACTAATTTATGAGTCCTTGAAAATCTTTTACGAATAACGTGTAGAAGACCGCTAGTGAGTTCATGAAAAACTCAACATCAAAAACTCGTATCGATATTTCTCTTCTAGTTTTTTCATGAACTTTTTCCAGAATTATCCAGTCAATTCTGACAAGCATAACGGTCACGATCTTTGAACGACCTCAACATCAATTACATGATATGGTGTGAATGGATTTATTATGCAGGGGCACACGAATAGTACAGACGAAAGAAGTCTACATTTCTTGGTGGATGCAACCCGCTAACATCGCGGGGGATTCTCCACCGCCTCCTCTCAGTGAGGCCCTGAGGGCGCGTCTATAACGAGGAGGAGACCCTTTACACTTCACCCTTCAGGTTATGAACATTGAAATGTAGATGTGATATTTGAATGGCTGATTTTGGCAGCCTTACAAGCACGGATCGCGTGTTCGAATCTGGTCTAGGAAAATTCACTTTTTCATTTATATGCAGGTGAAGACCTGAATTGAAAATATTTAGTGGTTTACACGATGAAAATTTCATTAGCCAATTTTTTGTAGCAAAACAATATAATATTATAGCTAAATCAAAGAAGATACCGATCTATTACTATCTATTGTGTATATGTTGTATACTGTGACAAATTAAAGAATTAGCTATCTTGAACAAATTTATTTTCAACAATATTTCAATA